AGATAAAATGACGTAAGATCATAAAACATCATTTACAAACATTCTTTTGTACACCCCCCAGAACAAATGGAATATAGATTACTTTTCTGTAGAACAATAGCTTCATAAATCGCTTTCAACGTATCCCATTTTATAAAGGCAAGAATTTTTGGGTAAGATATCATGCAAAATCTGATACTGGAACCACTGAAACTTGGCAGAATCTGTGCATTGAAACACTAATAAATTATTCAAAAGCGCGCTGACTCAAAAACTCGCTATGCAGACCTAATAACAAAACAATTATCTTTGACCCAAACTACGGGTCAAGAATATATGCCAAATTATTCATTCTCGCCTCAGGCTCCGTTGTAGGGATCTGAATGGTGATAGGTTTGACATCATCGACAGCCCCTCGTGCTCGTGGTCATCCAGTCGAAAATGCTGTGCATTATTTCTTCACACACAATAAATACACGGAATTAAGACAAAAATCATATTTCTATTTAAAGGGGTTTAGTATCATCACAATACTATGAGGATGTGCATCGTCACACTAGCAATGATCTACACAAATTATTAAAATCTATTCATGATTACATAATATAATCTTGATCTGTTTCTGTATTTATACTTGTATTATGACGTTTCATGAATACTTTATTGCGATGGAAAAAGAAATGGTGACTAAGAAGCCTTTAAACTTTTTCAAGAGCGAATGTGCACTACGCTTTGGCTACACGTGCAAACATTGTACAGACCAAGTTGAAGATGAAACCCACTTGATCTCTTATACTACCCCACTTTATGATGATATTCGTACATTTTATTTTCAGAATATGTTTTATCATACACCTGACCTACAGAATTCATCAGTAGATATTACCTTGAGCAGATATTTGTGGTCTCTATAAAACTTAAGAAATGGTTCAGCTTTTGAAACATTGCAGCACCCACTTTCTCTTATACTACCCCTTATGAAATTGTAACCGGTCTGCCAAAATTCGCTTCAAGAGCTATTTTGTACAGTGAAACTGGTTGGTTACCTTTAAAAGTTTAGACGTATGTTGTTGTGCCCTAAAACCTACAATGGTCTAAGTGCACAGTAATCATAAATAAACATGAGTGGGCGGAGCTTATGTGACCACGTTATACGTGTTTCGTACGCACTACTTCTCTCTTGAACACGGAAGTGTCTTTACTTCTGCTGAGTCGTGTAAAGTTGAATAGCGTGTAATGAGAGTGCATTTTTTCCCTACAACATAACAAAACAGCATTTCCTTCCATACTACCATTTATTGACGTAGTGACATAAGCTCCGCCCACTCATGTTTATTTATGATTACTGTGCACTTAAGACCATTGTAGGTTTAAGGGCACAACAGACGTGTGTTGTCGACGTCAAGACGCTTAGATCTGTACCCGGTTTGAATAAACTGCCGCTTTTGCGCTGCTGACGGATTTTCCAGCTTCGTAGTTTCTTCACTTGGATTAGGGTCAAGAAATTCTTCTTCAAACCATTCGCTTTTTACTTCCAAAACACCAAAGATGCTACCGAGATAGAAATTGCCGATGTCCGATGAGTCAACGAGTTCGTTGTATTCATACGCGGTGAATCGGTCACTTTAAATTAGCGGCCTTAAACTGCCATTTAAGTACGGTTTTGATGAGCTCTCAGCCAATCAGAATCGAGTATCACACAATGTCGTGCTAGAATGTCTGATAATGTTTGTTTTTTTCGATTGTTCTAAGCGCTAGGCATCTTAGAAATGTCTCTTTGATCTTGATGCTGACTTATTATATAGCTGTACTTATATACACCCAGAGGGATCTTCGTGGTACAATAAATTGAATGCATACTGCAGAAATGGTATTACAATTTTCCAGGAGAAACTATTAGAGCTGATATCTGATTTACCCAACATCTATGTGCTATGTGGGGGTGACTTCAATGCTCGAACAAGTACTAATTCTGATTTTGTTGACGATGATATCATTCTTCACACTGAAAGTAAAGATCATTCAATGTATGATTTTATTCTAGATAACTTTAATCTTGAACGATTCTCATGTGATAAGATTGTGAACCATTTTGGTAGATGCTTGTTAGATATAAGTAGTATTCTAAATATCCACATTGTAAATGGTAGGTGTGGATCAGATTTTAATATTGGTCAATATACATTTATTGGTACAAATGGTACTAGTGTTATTGACTACGTTTTAGCATCGGCTAGAATTTTTGATAGCATACAAAGTTTTGATATACCTTCACGCGCTGAATCGTCTCATTTACCACTGACACTAGAATTACGTGCGCATCACTCTCGTGAACGTAAAATTAAATAACATTTGTGACGTCATTCCATTGTCTGCTCGCTCCATTACTTTTCAGGAATGGAACGATGTGTACCAGCTTCAAATTAAAGACTTCATTTTGTCATTTTGACATATAACTTTGATAACAGAAATATTCCCAATACTTTGAATGAATGGAGAGTTAACCCTCTACGTAATGAAACTAGGACAAATAACAAAGCATTTAAATTTGTCTGGGATATAGATAAGTTAACAGAATTTAGAAACAATTTTCACACTGATGAGATACAGGATTTATTTGAAAAATCTATGGATGCTGTTTTTACAGATATCAACAAGAGTGTAGATTTCATTGTAGATGCTCTGAGTTTAGCAGCTTCGGATATGAAAAAACAAGTCAAGCTTTCGCCAAGGGGAGGTAATAGAAATACAGGGTTTGATAGTGAATATGACTATTTGAAAAAGGAACGATGTAAATTATTAAATGCTTTTCGAAAACAGAAAACAACTGAATCCCTCGAGACGAACCATAGACCTAGAAATAAGTATACTGTGACCTGTTAACGGAAGGAAAAAGAATATTTTGATCAGAAATAAGTATATTTAGAAACAAATATAAATGATTCGAAAATATTTTGGACAGAATTAAAAAACTTAATTCGAAAAACACCCCAAAAAATAACATAGGAATTGTAAATTGGTATACATATTTTGAAACTCTTTTCTCAAATCCGGAAATAGATAGTGACACTACTGTAAATAGTGAGGCACCAACACATGTTGTAAATACTGACCCTAACTTGGATATTGTCTATGACATTTTAGATACACCCATAGATAGGCAGGAAATAATAGAAAGTATACAGAATATCAAGTGCAAAAAGTCACCAGGGATAGACAATATTCTCCCGGAATTTGTTAAACATTCGTCTGATATATTACGTCCTTATCTTGACCTTTTATTTAATGTTATACTAGAAACCGGTAATTTTCCTACATCATGGTCAAATGGTATTATTGTACCCATACATAAACACGGTGATGTAAACAACCCAAATACCTACCGTGGAATTACTCTCCTTAGTATCTTCGGGAAACTTTTTACATATATCATAAACAAAAGATTAATTAAGTGGGCTGACACTATGGATAAATTATATGAGGGCCAAGCTGGTTTCAGACAGGGCTATACTACAACTGACAATATATTCATACTTCAATCCATTGTGCAAAAATATTTGAATTCAAGGGGTGGGAAATTCTATGCCCTATTTGTTGATTTTGCTAAGGCATTTGATTCTATCAAGAGAAATAAATTATGGGGCCTTTTGCAAACTCATGGACTCAGTCAAAAACAACAAACTTTTGTGTAGCATATATGAAGATGTCAAAGTATGTGTAAGAAACAATAATGAAGTCTCAGAAAATTTTATTTGCTATTTAGGTGTCAGACAAGGCTGTATTTTAAGTCTGTTTACATTTTTTATCAATGAATTAGCTGTGCAAATATGTGATAACTGTACAAACGGGATCCAGTTACATCCAGATTTAACCAAATTATTTTTGTTACTCTTTGCGGATGATATTGTCTTGTTTTCCAGTACCATAAGTGGTTTACAGAAACAAATTGATCAACTTGAAATCTGTTCTGATGAGTGGAATTTGGCAGTAAATAGGAGTAAAACAAAGGTTATTGTTTTTAAGAATGGCGGGAAACTTTCAAAAAGGGAGAAATGGATTTACAAAGGCGAACAACTAGAAACTACAAACGTATATAAATATCTTGGAGTCTATTTTTCAAATCACCTTTCGTGGATTAACCACACAAAACAGGCATCTGTACAAGCCCTTAAGGTTTTGATATATATAAGAGACATATCATATAAATCATTCTTTAAAATATTTAATGTTAAAGTACGCCCAATACTCTTATATGGATCAGAAATATGGGGTTTTGAATAATTATGAATCTATAGAAAAAGTCCATTTATATGCATGCTAAAAATATCTCGGCGTGAAATCTAGCACATGTAGCACTATGGTATACAGCGAGTGTGGTAGATTTCCATTATATTCTATATTCATATATTCTACTATTAAAGTTATAAAGTACTGGTTACGATTGTTAACTATGCCATGTCATAGATTTCCTAAGAAGTGTTATATAATATGATGATAGTATATGATAAAAATGGGAAAAGAAATTGGGTAACTAATGTAAGGGAATTTTTATTCAAAACGGGGAATGGTTATGTTTGGAATAATCAAAACGCCCAACCAGAAAATTCTTTTATTATATCACTGACCCAAAGAATGAATGACATCTATCAACAAAAATGGCTTGAATCTATCTGTCTATCCTCTAAATGTCTGTATTATAAACATTGGAAATCTGAACTATGCCAAGAATATTATTTACCAAACATCAACTCTGATATACCATATTATATATATTGCTCCTAGCATGCTAACGATGCATTCCACCTAAGGTGGGAAAATCGATAAGTCTCCTTCGGAGTTAATAGACCAGTTACGTTGCCTAAAACAATGTAAGGTATGATGGAGAGTTAATGTTAGAGTTTGGAAGTCGTATTGAGGAATCAGATCTTACATTTTGGGGAAAAGTGAACATAGCAACAAATGTAATAAATATATGGATGCTTACGTCTGTCTATCTGTTAAAGGGAGATAACCTCATACTTCCTGGTGTTGTGAAACAATTGACAGAAGCGAAAGTTCGAGAGTCCCAGAAGAATCTTTAAGAAGCGTTATTAAGGGTTGGGGTAAGGTTCAAATATAAAGTTTTAAGTATAGAAATGAGTAGTGAACGTTGGCAGGAGTATGTATGAGGCATGGACAGTGGATTGTGGGATTTGATAAATTGCACTAGGTCCAGGATCGACAATGACGACATATAAAATAGATATGCGTCGTCTTCGGCTATAATACAGCTGACATCATTTGTGTGCGTAATATGGTATACCGGATATGGGGATATTATAAATCTGTTTCTGATTTTTGTCTCACAACACAATAAGTTGACACATAGTCATGATATTAAGACACTGACATCAGTCAAAATGTGCCGTGCCAAAACGGCAAAGACGATATGGTATTTTCAAAACGGACAACTGTTTATTAATATTGTCTACCAATCCAGTGAAATATCAAGAGCTATGGCTTGTTTCATATACAGTCCTCTTTTAACAATATTGTATTTATTCACATTCCCACTAAAAATCTGTGATATAATAATACTTGGTGTGTGTGTGTGTGTTTAGTCAAAATGCCCCAATTTATTGAATATGATTAAATATATGCCATAAATGCATAGTTTTTGTCAACTACGATATTATATTCTTCATATAATATTATGTAGTAATATTTCTGATAAATGTTCCATTAATAAACTGATTAAAGCATCAAGTATGGTATAATACTTATCAAAACAATCTAGAGCTTGTTTTAGTTAATCTTGTCAAAAGGTGAGGTCTTAAATGCATAGTTTTTGAAAACAAGTATGGTATAATATTTATCAAAACAATCTTGAGCTTTTGCTAATTAATCTTGTCAAAATGTGAGGCCATAAGTGCATAATTTTTGTCAACAAGTATGGTATAATACTTATCAAAACAATCTAGAACTTTTGTTAAATAATCTTGTCAAAAAGTGCGGATAAAAACTGGCTATAAACAAGAAGAACAGATCCGGGGCATTCTGACCAAATTTGCTGGGGCATTTTGTAGCTGGGGTGTTTATCCTGGCACCCGTATAGAGAACCTGATCTCTCTTGGGGCTCCAAAACGTGTAAACATGAAAACCTCTACTCATGCAGTAACTGCACTACAAACGTGCACTACAAACATTATATATGCTGAAGTTTGCCATGTGCTTTTGCAAAGGGACATCACTCTAAACAATAACATTTGAAATCTTAATTTTAGCCCATGGGCTTGATAACGGGAAAATATCCCGTTTTTAAGCCCATGGGTGTAATTGGACTTAAATATGGGAAATTCCAGCCCATATGGGTGATATCTTACTGGCATATGCGACAGCAAGGTTCATGATGTCCATTGCTGAGTTTGATAACAATGAGCAGTCAATCAACTTATATTCAGCTAAAGAATATTGGCAAAGGTAATAAAGAAGTTGTATACCCTTTGAACTATCTCCCTTATAAACCAAGCCAGGCACTTTTTAGGCGGTCACAGCACAGGTTAAAAGGTGATTAACATGAGGCGAGAGCTTTTTGGATTGCCTGGTGCTGGGCCGCCATGCCCTGCTTATTCATGTGGGCCCTGTCTTGGAACTGGGACTCGTCCGGTTTAAAGACAACAACCCAGCCGCCCAGCTGCCCCCTGGCAACGTTGCTGATATGTCTATTGAGTTTTTTTGTGCTTCATCACAATCGAGACTTGATGATGGTGGCATCTAAACAGCGCAGGTGGACATACAGCAGCTCTTGATAGATGCTGTCGTACAGAAGTTTTAAGGGGACCTCTCACAGGTCCTACGATCCAAGGTGGACAACTATGAAACTATGAATGACCTGCATCGGCCCCTGACCTTAGCCGACCAGATAACCCTGGCTGAAACTGAAACCTTGTTAGGGGAGCAAAGTTAGTTCGAATAAATAAATACCTGTCTGACACAAATTGCGCAGGGGGTTTGACAGGACACAGCATAGACTATGGGACTGCCTGAATGGTGTCCCATGGCCCTGTTGGTCTGTTTTGGAGGTCAGCAAGACCGCCTCTACATAGCATTGGACCAACATCTTTGAGAGATGTTATTATCCTTCTAGCAGAAGAACACTTTGCTTTTCGGTATGAACTAATGATCCTGCATATATGGTACTATGTTTTACAGGCATGTGAATGTCATTCAGTTTAAAGTAAGGTTCCTTGATATCTTTCTCTCCGCCCTTGAACACAAGAATGCAACTCTTGCCTGGATTGTGGCAGAACCTCCACAGGAACGAGTAATCATGGACAATGTTGAGTGATGCCTACAATTCTTTTTGTTGGCCTGTTTTGGAGGCCAGCAAGACCGCCTCCACATAGGATTGGTCACTACCAAAAGATACTTGCCCACTGTGATTGACTGAACCTTCCTCCACGTCGCTTACCCTGCAAGAATAAAAAAATGTTAGTAGGTATGCTGCAGAGAACAGTGAAGCTTCAAATTATAGCTCCACACAATCGTCTGCAGGAAACCAACCCTCACTGACCAATATCTTCATTTCACATCTTCACCCACCCCACATCTAACCAGCAAAGAACATCAGCTCTTCAACCCAAACCCTTGAAGCCAAGTTTGATATACTTCATCATGTCTTCATGAACCTTAATGAGTATCCAGGCAACGTGGTACACAAAACCATCAAGACCACCCTCAACCCAAGAGACAAACCACCACGTCAGCAATCAGCACCATTCATCTACAGCATACCATACATTGATACAACCAGCCATCATATCCACAGACTACTAAAGAAGCAAGCTAACATAGATGTTGTGTTCCAGAGAGGCATCAATTCAGCATATATGTACTTTACAAGCCACCGGCAAACCAGCTACAAGCAACAAAGAAGATCCTTCAGGCATTGTCAACCACATTCAGCGTGAATGTGGGTGACTTGTGTGTAGGTGAAGCATCCAGTCCCCTTAACATGTAATGAGAGTCAAGAAACACATATGTGAAGAAAAAAAAGACTCCAAATCAGCCATTTCCAAACACACCCACATCCATTTGAATCATACCATCCTTTGGAATGTCATCATCCTTGCAAACTGGTCAGACCACAAGATGAGAAAACTCTTAAGCAGTCAATATCAAACGATCAACCCAACTATCAATAGTGATCAAATGTTGTCTATCCTTAAAAAAGTTTCCTCTACAGTTTTAAATGATGTGAAATGTCTAAGACAAAAATAAACCCCAGTCATACGTGACTTCCTTATAAGTGTGTTCTTTGTAAACATAGTTTACGGTATTAGTCCTTCACTTAAGCAACCAGGCCAGCCTCAAATGCTTATGGCAAAATGTTGATATGCTTCCCTAACTAAAAACTTGAATGATCTTTTGGCAGACACGGGACCTCTAGTTGTAGCTTGATCCATATACAGTGGAATCTGTAGGTCATATCTACATTTTTTCGCACATCATCATCATTATTTCGATGAACATATGTTTTGATATTCAAAGTTTCATTTATGAAAGGCTTGATTTGGTCGGTATGCTTTTATATGCTTAATTGTGATATATGATGTTTTCAATAACCCCAAGGATTGTATTTTTCTCAATCAAGCTGGAAAAACCAAAGCTGTAAATATTGGTGTTTTTCACTATCACCTATTTCTATGGTGAATATGTCTGATGCACAGTCTTTGCAACATGAAGTAGAGGTTTCGAGGGATGGGACTGTTTCTCATTTTGTTTGCACATGTTAATATTTGTTTTGTTTTTTCTGTGCAGTCAGGTGAAGCAGATGATTTGAATGGGTCAAACAACTAGCTCCCTGTTCAGCTCCATGGATCAAGCAATCTATGATCGTGGCCCACAAGAACTTGATGCACAGCTTCTTCACAACCGACACTGCCTCGTATCTGCAATTAAAAATGCATCTGATTGCAGCAGTCCTCTTATGGACCTTGTGTATTTGAAGTGCCCAGTTGCTATGAAATATGCTGTCCTAAATGTCACAAATATTTTGAAGGAAAACAATCAGGTTGGTGTTGTTTGAGTGTTTTTGAATTCTGCACTTCACTGCCCTTTTAACTGATAACAGGGTTCAATTCAAACTGTACATTTCCTATGAGCTAAATCATTTGAAGGCAGAGGACATGGACAGAGAGAGACACATACTACTTCTGAGTGGTCATGTGAACATTATTCTTCTAGCTCCAACATTATTTTAATGCTTTAATGTTGATAAGATATTAATTGATACCAAACATGGTTATATATAGTACCCTCTATAAAAGATACTGGTGTGGTTGAGTCTTACAGAGATCAGAAGATCATATCAATACCTGGCGTCATAATACCCAAAGGCATTGAAAAAGGGTATTCGTTGTTACCTTGGTTGGTGCTTGGTCTTGAGGAAGATAAGATGGATTGTTTGTGTTGGAGTCAGTACTTCTGAGTCAGATATTCATGTGGCATAGTATCATGGTCAGCTCTAAAACTGACATCATTTCATACTAGTGTACATACAGCCATGACAGAGAGAGAGAGAGAGAGAGAGAGAGGCACACACACACATACAGGCACACAGACATGAACACAGAGAGTGAGACACAGACATGGTCACAGAGAGAGAAAGAGAGAGACACACACGCACAGACACAGACATGGACACACAGAGGCACTGGCACAGAGAGAGACAAAAACACAGGCACCAGCACAGACGCAGACATGGACAAAGAGATACACAGTGGCACAGACACACAGACATGGATACAGAGAGAAGAGAGATACACACAGACACAGACAGACACACACAGAAAAGAGACACACACACACTGGCACAGGCACTGATGCACAAACATGGACAGAGAGAGAGACACACATGCAGGCACAGACAGACACACAACAGGCACAGGCACAAAGACATGGACTAACAGAGACACAGACACAAGGCAGTGACACACAGACATGGATACACAGAGAGAGACACTCATACAAAGGCACAGACACACAGGCACAGACACTGGCATGGACACAGAGAGAGAGACACACACACAGGTACATAGAGAGAGATACACCACAGACATGGACAGATAGAGACATGTACACAGAGACACAGACATGAACAGAGAGAGACAGACACACACAGAGAATTATAGAAAGGCAATAATCTTTACCTCACCAATGGAGCTGCTTGTATTCATGCAAGGTATTCAACAAAAACAAATTGAGGCAACTAGTTTGAATTCAAATGCATTTGTTAGTTTTTTGCATACGTACATCTATATTTCAGTCAATACAAAATCTGAAGAACATCCCTGTGGCTCTAAACATTTTAGAGAAGTATGGCCGTCACCTGCTGAAACCAAAGACCCTTAGGAACGAACTGTGGAGATACGTCAAATTCTCTAACCCTATATTCAAAGACCGTGTTGATGCTCTCAAGGTGAGTATTTCAGAGGGTCTGCTAGATCAGTTTGTGTTCATTCAAGTTTTGAAGTAAGATGTCAGACAAAACTGAAGTAATCCCTTCTTTGCCACAGTTAATGCATTGGACAGGTTAAAAGTGAATGGGAGTATTCCACAACATTCTGTAAACTAAGATGTCACTGCACTGTAACAGTGTATGAAGCATTCCACAACATTCTGTAAACTAAGATGTCACTGCACTGTAACAGTGTATGAAGCTCCCCAGAAGCACAGGGAAGCAACTTCAAAAAGATAACTAACCTAATAAAGATTTATTATCACAGTTTTAGCAGGCTAAAACATACCTAAATATTCATTTCCTTTTAGCGAATGCTATACTAAACAGTATAAATATTCTTACAATATTAATATAATTCCTGTGAATACAAACATGTTATTACATCATTGCCATCAATTTGGTTGGTTATCTTTACAATAGTTCACCTTGTGAAGGGGAAACCTCACTTCTTTCCTGTGTTTTGGTGTCCATTCCCAAATGTTTTTTGGAAATCATTTTGAAGAGGCAGCAGTCAGTGTTTGAGATGGGTTGCATGTAGGAGCACAAAGATCTTTACTGCAAATCCAGGAAGACTCTGAGGGGTGCTGACGAATCAAGCATGTCAGACCAGAGAGACACTGAAGTTTTCTTCTTACAAGATTTGCATCGTATGGAGGCTGTGGTAGGCCTTCAACTGTCTCACCAAGAAGATAATCACTAGCCTTCCCAGCCTTCAACTAAACACTACACCATGACAGCTGGAATGGGAGGACCTATGAATCATATATCAAAGGGCTGTTTAGTGAGGATATATGTGTTTCTTCAAATACAGAGTCCATCAGTGGGTCCACAACACTTTATTCATTATTCAATTTGACAGCTACATGGTAATATTGCAATAGCTAGGTGGCATTTGGGAGCCGAACTGCCTAGCCGCTGTCTGAGGGTCAAGTTTCAACTAACACAAAGCATTCTTTGTTTATCCCAAAGGGTCAAATCCTGATCAGATTGTCACGTGTTGATATTTAAGTCAGATGTGTGGTCAGCCTGCAGTATCCCGCACCTATCATCCACAATGTTATGCTTCAGTGACCAACCGGCCTTCGTCTAACATTGATTATGGGCAGCTAATCTGCAAATGACTGTGTTAGTGGCCAAGATAATAAATGTCAGGCTGCGTTGATTTCATTTCTATTGACAGCAAGGTCATTATTTAGAGAGATGTTCAATTTACATAACTCAGGGAATATATAAATAACCCTGATAAACCCTGTTCCAAAATGCCAACATTACATTGCTGTCCAAGGCCAATGAGACTATCACTGAAGCTTCTACACTATCTTTACAGTTACTGCACACTTACCAATGAAATTGATTAGAAGTGAAAAATAAGTGCAGAGAAACATTTACCATATTAGACATGAGAACCCCATGGAAGGCCAAGAAACATCCTGCCACAGCTACCATTGCCAGCAGGGAGTTAAGATTATATCAGTGGGTGTTCATACAATCAACAATGGCATCAAGAATTTGAGAAGTGACAAGAGAGTACCACTCCCTTAGCTGAAATGAGGAACATACCAAACTCAGAATTGACCACTCGGGAACCGTCCTGTTGTGTATGAAGATTTCCAGTTGTGCAGATTTTACAGGAGTGTGCCAAGTCATTCCATCTCAAAAGGAATATGATGCAGGGATTCTGGTAGTGACAACCATTACCTTCTGTAAATATTCCTCGAAGGAGTATTTATTTGTTGTTAATTTGGAGTCACCTGATAAATCGTGGTTAGCCGGGGCCTACTTGCCAAACTGCATCCTTTTGCTTGTCAAAAGTTGCGGCTGAAAACCACATTAATTCGGGACCGCCCACTCCCTAGAGTTTTTGTGCTGTTTAAGCCAAAGGGTTATCACAAAGGGCAACCATACACAAGTTCATAGTAAGCATATCGGGAGTTAGTGCTTTCTCAAGGCCTCCTTGTGTTATGCGACCTCACGGTTGTAGAGTTCACACAGGGTAATCTGCGGCCCACCATCCAACCATGGGATAATGCATATCATGAGATAGGATAAGTTTATAATTTGGAAATTTTAACCATAAATTGTATATTTATATACTTATCCTATCTCACGCGATGGATTCCCGTCCGACCTGCCCGACATCACAGATTACTGGAAGCTCCAAGATGAGAATGACAGTAATGGGATATCACATGATCATCGGAGCAATCTGCATGCATATAGAGATGGTCGACAGGTCCTGCTATCGGGTTGGGGGCAGAGTTCAGGTGGTACAGAGGCCGGAAGATTTGATTCAACTTAGCCTACAGCACGTTTCCACATATGGGTCGTAGAAGAGAGGTGCATACCGTTAGATAGGATAAGTATATAAATATACAATTTATGGTTAAATTTCCAATATGTATAACAATGTTGACGAACGTATGACATCACTATCGGGAAGTGACTTTCTCAAAATGATGTGTCCACGGACACGAGTACGCAGGATATTTGGCAGGAAACTTTCGTTGTTTCAAGCAACGTATATGCATAAATGTGACATGTAAGTAGTCTGACACATTCTGACAATCTCCTGGTTGTTATTTTTGTTTTGTTTTCATCGTGACCAAGGGAAATAGTCAGAAATGAGGAGAAGTACCATCACCGTTGTGTGTGTGTTTGCGTCAGTCATGGCGTCACGCTTACGGAAACTATAATATAGTGTGTTGAATCTTGGAAATAATTGGAATACACCTATTTATATTCAACTGTCTCTTGCTACGATTTCTTTTCCCATGCATGTTCTAAAACTTATGAGCAAGTATATGCAACGACTAGGGGAACGGATCTCTCACAGTATCAGAAAACGATACTCAGTGTAAATTCTGAGATGGGCTTTGTTTTCATTTCAAACAAGTGGTCCTTTCCCCTGCACGGCATCTGATATATTTAGCTAGATTTCACTGAGACACTTGGTATTGGTGACAAAGACCATTTGTCATTTTATTTTGAACTGTATGAGGAATTCAAGGATTTGTGTAAGGAAGATGGTTTTGAATTATGGTTGTGATGTAATGGGCAAAACATAACTGACATAAGTGTGATGTGATTTTATGAACACTCTGGCTGAAAGTTCACTTCGATGTTTGTGTTTCCAAAACATTTTCAGCAATTCTCGATTCATCAACGATGTTTCAGAACGAGATTCCATCAAACAACATATACCAGTGATCACAATGATATAGTTTAAAAAAAAGAAAAGAAGATTTCTGATAAATGTAATTTTCAGTAGATATACCCTACAATGAGCGGGTGATATCATTGAAAAACTAATTTTAACAGAATTCAAAACTGTGCATTTATCTTCGTGATGTATTTGGATATGGTTTTGACATCAAAGTGAATGTTGAAGAGGAGGGACATATACTGTACAATTTATGTAGGAATTAAGTACCAAATGTAGAAAGCCGTCTTATTCATCAACAGATGTAGTGCATATATATACATTTTAGTTTTGGTGACAGAAGATACTGTTGGAAAGGGGACTGACTCTGGTTGAATGTTATACAATTTGGTAACGTGGTAACAATTTTTGCACAATGTCTACAGGTTTTTTTTATGCCCCGCAACGCGTTTTTCGGGGATATTAAAATGGACTCCGTCCGTGCACTTTTGTCTTTTCCGGAGCAGAACTCTAAAACCGTTCACCACTATTTCTTCACCAAACTTGGCACATAGATAGATCTGGTGGTGTACTGGTGCCTTTTGGTAGTTTTGGAATTCTGAATAAAATATTTTTGGCGTTTCCATGGCAACAAGTTTGACTTAGACTGAAATTGGTTGTAGTGCTCTTTTCCGCGGAGCAGAACTCTAAAACCGTTCACTATTTCTTCACCAAACTTGGCACATAGATTGGTCTGGCGGTGTCTTCTTGTTTCAAACTGTAATGTCATCACAGTGTGGAACTGACCACATAGCCAGCTGACACCAGGCAACAGTTGGATTAAAACAGTAGCCTGCACATCAACACACAAGTTTTGAAGAACCACACCTCTACCCGCACCATGTGAAATGGATCTGATAAGGTCTAACGACGTCATTCGTTTATCAGTCGGGTGCCAATGACATCATTTCCAAGGGACATAAGCCATGGTGTGTTTATTTTGACATAGAACTCTCAGTTAACGTGGAAAATTTGAATCAATATTATGCAAAAAAATATAGATACAAGCAGCGATGTCGGGCTCCATGGTCCTTTTTGGCTCTTCCCCCAAAGGACTCAATTAGCCATTTTAACCTTCATCAATTTGCATTTTTTTCCTCTTTGCTAGCTTTGTAATCAAATGATTATCCTTTCAAATAGTCAGATTTCTGGTTTGGGAAGTACAGGAAATCTGTGAATAGAAGAGAGAAAACCACAAGTCACAGAGTCTATTGTACAATTCCAAATAGCAAATCCAGTGACTGAGATCATATGATATGATGTCAAAGCAAATAGTGATACCACAGCGATGAAGAAAAATTAAACTTGGCAGATATGTTCTACAGACCTTCCTACATAACATACTAAAAGTCCCCTAAAATCCCAATTGAGCTAAATCCATAGTGCACATGCAAACATGGCTACCTTATGCAACCTTTTGCTAACCTAGAAGACGAATTGTGCTTGATAAAATAGTCACAACTTCTGTATTTCTGTACAAAGACCTATAGGTATAATGATAAGGCTTAGATATGTCTAAAAGACCTTGAAGTGTATTGTTAAATGTCTTTTTCAGCACAAACCACCAAATATGACTTAATAAAATCATATTTTGACTGAAACTGAAGATTTCGAATTTTTTGGCATTTTTATAAGTCAATTGCAATAATTTGATTTATTACACCCAAAATTCAAGCAAGTGAAATTATATAATTTCATAAAAGCACATTGCCATGCTTTAAAAAGAGTTATCACCCTTGGATACTCACAAGTTCAAGAA